ATATTTGTGTACGATGTATTTTTGAGATATTCATATATAAACACATAGTTCTATTTGACAATATATATAGCAGATTTAGCTACAGTGCAATCATACCTGCGAAGTATACTACAGCCTACTACAGTTTATTATTTATACTGCGCAAGATCCGTAACCGCATAAAATAATCAAGTGAGTAACCGATACAGTATACTAGTGATTTAAATTCCTTAAGATACGCAGCTTTCCCTGAAACAGATTTCATGTCTTTACGCACACTTAATTTTATCATTTAGTTACAATCCAAACGTTTTTCATGATGGTTTTCCGTAGTTGTCTTTAATAGCGAGAAAACGGCTCCCTCATCTCCGCTTAACTAAAGGCATGTGCAACTGATTTCTTTTGTAAACTATAACTCAGTCTTCTGTAGTTATATTAATGTAAATAAAACATGCGTAAGGCACACAATAAGCTTTTATCGAAGTCAAGAAACCAGCTAACTCAAGCCGCGCAGCATGAGGTGAAGTAAACAAATATGAACCTCGCGTGACTTGCATGACAGATCTCCTTGGCTTCTATGAGTTAAAGAACAGAACTTTTCCCCCAAACTATCGGGTAGTGGTCTCTGTGTGTTGCACACTCCTGGATGTCCTTTATTTCGATCACATGTTTGACTTTTATGGCAATAATCTATCGAACTAAAAAGGCAACACAGCGGGAAGCGAAGCAACAACATGGCGCATCATGAACGCGTATAAAATGCAAATGCGTTCGTCAAAGAGACTTTTTCCCACACCTTTCTCCAGCACTGCTATCCATTTAGACTTGTTAAATAAATGCTATTCTTCAACTTTGCCTTGAAAAGTTTCTCCGAAATCAAGTTTCAACAAAAATATTTTTAAAAAACAAGGAAAAATGCCGAATTCTTAGCTATTTCTGCTAATAATTCCGGCAATGCTCCGAATTCAGCAAGGTTTTCAAGGGGGGATTGTAGGCCATGCACGTGCGATGCTGTGGGACTCCTAGACAGTACAATTTGTCCTTCTCGGCATGATTCTCATCGCTCAAAAGGCGAAAATACATAGCCACAACAACACCAACATTTTACCGTTTTCAAATAACCGTATAGGTTATTTGTGCACACGAGCTAATAGACGGTTCGATGTAGTACAGATTGAGCAAGTATCGTTTTAAAACGTTGAAAAATAAACGCAAACAGGGGCGCCAAAGACGCAGTATTTGAACCGCGCCATAATTTACAGCTAGGAAACCGGAAACCAATATACGCGGGCAAATTGACTCCGGGAGCAAACTGCATAGCAACCGGCCATCGTGATATTTTTTGTCTGGAGGAGATTCCTCAGTGGGTTAATGCGACTGCCCATGTGTCTATAGTTAACGCATTAAGTTGCGTAATTGCTTCAGAATGCACCCTATTTTATTATTTACTTCGTGTAACAATAGACAATTTTAGTCTGTCTAACGCCAGATGATTTTACTTGTCAACGGGAGATCGCAACTCACTTTATAAATACATTATTATTCAGTCCACTCGCCATTGGGGGCTTTCCACTGACCGATTACATCAAGTATTGCGCCTACTTACAGTATGTACATTACATACTTAGCCTATTTATCTTTACAACAATTGTGATTACTTTCCCAACTGTGTTTGTCCTAATGGGTCCTGTCAATTTTTTATATGCGAGGAAACCGGAGCGCCCGGACTAAACCCACGACTTTCGATAGCTAGGGTTCATTGCCTATAATTATTGATATGATATCCTATAATTATTGATATATCATATAAGCAATAACAACAATTAATTGATAGAGCTAAAGGATTTATGGGAACTATACTGAGTATTTTTACTAAATACAAAACAACAGTAACTCCCAAAAGAAACATTTAATATAGTTCTATCTGTCGACTATGTTTTAGTCATCATCACGATAGGAATGATACTAGGTTACATAACTACGATATTTATAAGTGAAGATTAAAGTAATTTCATATGCACAAACATATTACGAGGTCTTTTGACGCATGATTTAGTTCCGTGATTGAGTTCAGGTTTTAAACGTCGAATGGCATGCAAGTGTCAAGTGATTCTTTAAAAAGTAAAAAGGACGAATGATCAGATTTGTCTGTACGTTATAAATTCTGGTAGTGTACAAGTTGAGGTTGAGTTTCATTCTAAAATAGATATGGTGCGTCGAAAATGTTCGCATGTGATTTATTGTCCAGCGAGTGTTTCTAGTTGTAGCAGCGATCCGTTTTAACGATGTATCTACTTCAAATCCAGAACAAGTAAATTTGTATACCAAAGAGCTTTGACATTTAGTAGGTGTTCTAATTTGTCTTAGCATAAAAGGAACGAGTTGTTTTTAGTAGTTTCCCAATTAATGACCTCAGTGCATTTTATATATAGTAGGGTGTTATTCTGTCTATGAAAGAGCGGGTATAAGTGATGTTCCACATTTGCCAGGACAGGATAAACTGAACTTGCCAAATTTTTTGAGACGATGTTAGTTGGATCAGTATCTGGATTATCTCAATGTGTATCGGGTTGTTTGATGTTGTTATAGGCGGTGTGAATAAGATTATACACAGGTTAGAGATTAAGACAATGTAGATCTGATCATTGGTCCTTTTTACTTTTAAAAGAATGACTTACATGCCATTCGACGTTTTAAACCTGAACTCAATCACGGAACTAAGGCGTCAAAAGTTGTTATGTTCAAGGGCAGGGGGGGAGGGGTTCAAGGAGGCCAGTTGCCCAACGGGTTGAGCCTCCATTGTTAAAACATTTATGCCAGTTTGGAGGGCTTAACTTGCAATATTTTTGCAGATTGCACATTTATAACCTGGAAAGTTCTTTGCAACTGTAGGGTTGAAATTATGTGGTAACGACCTTAGCAATCCGTTCTTGACTATAATACCATCAGCCATTAGGCAGGGCACTACTGGGACATTTATCCTAGTAGGCCCTTTGCTTGCCCCAGTATAGCGAAGCAATATTTTTCTTCACGTTCTAACTTATTTAGTTTCAGGTTTTTGAATGAATATCTTCTAATTTAGAAAACTAACCGTTGGAAGTTTATTTTGAGTAAATATTATATACTTTTGTGATTACTCTGAGTGCATATCCACACCGGGCGAGCTTGAAAAATATGCCCGGCCACGGTGGGATTCGAACCTACGACCTTTGGAATACTAGCCCAATGCTCTTCCAACTGAGCTACGCGGTCAGGACGGTTCGAGTAAGCGATATTTCGGAACAGTATCTAGTTCCTTCAATACCAATGTGTTCTTGTAATATTTTTTTTTTTTCTGTGTTGGTGTTGTGTACCCAGGTGAATAATATGTTTGCGATGTTACTCTGAGTGCATATCCACACCGGGCGAGCTTGAAAAATATGCCCGGCCACGGTGGGATTCGAAGCTACGACCTTTGGAATACTAGCCCAATGCTCTTCCAACTGAGCTACGCGGTCAGGACGGTTCGAGTAAGTGATATTTCGGAACAGTATCTAGTTCCTTCAATACAGTAGCCTGCTCACAGACGTTGTAGTTCTTACGCCAAGCGACGAAATACTACCGTCTGCTTACCCGAGCTGCATATACAATTCCCTTTGTTTTAGGAGCCAATCATATTGCAATGTTCAAAAAAGTTATAGCCAATTGGAAGCTGCCTTCTTGAGAGATTAGCTACTGGGGAAAGCCCTTGCACATGCATTGGATATTTTGTTTGGGTTGAAACTCGAAATTTTTTTACTTGCGTGGACATATTTTGGAAACTGTAGCGTTGTTTACGTGGAACAATATTGTGATCATCTTCTCGCATGTTCAGCAAACAATCGGTGTATATAAAGTGCTAAAGCAATGCAGTAGGCGAAATTTAAATTTTTGTTAACAATGACAAACAATCAATCGGGAAACTCGAGTATATCAGGATATGTCCCAATGTTGCTCTTGATACTTCCTATATATGCTATAACTTCGACGAAAACTTCTAAAAGATTAAGCTCTCATTGTCATGTAGAAAGTATAGCCAAGTTAGAGTATAATTTATAAACGTTTCAAAGTTTGGGCGAATTGGAAAATTCATCCCAGCGCAATTTTAATACAAATTTCTCGGGTTTGTGTTGTGTTTACAATTTACATTCAGAAGACGAAGTGGTTGCTCAAACAGCAAATTAGTTTACTTTGAAGCTAATATTTCGCTTTCTAAGCCACAGTATTATATAATATTTTCTGTCTTCCGAGTTCTGTTGTCTTATAAAGATAAACATCCGTCAAAAGTTCAAATTTCAGCGAAATATATTCGGCATTTGATGCTGTCTCGCCTGTCTGGCTTCATACAGTGTATTAAATACGCCAATCATGTCCGCGTTTTAAATATAACCGAACATCTTTATAATTAATATCCAAATCTGATCATTAATGGTGCATTTTATTACCTGGACAAGTATTAGTATTTTTAAATTCAATTTATGTGTAATTTTGACCAAAATTCAACCGACGACTGCTTTCAAAATATATATTTATATTTATTCCGCTCCTAAATCTACTGACGTAGAATTTGGAAGGTAAGTTCTGATTGGTCGACGTAGCGGAATTCAGTTTGGCGCTCTGGTAAGCAGACGGTAGTGTTTCGTCGCTTGACGTAAGAACTACAACGTCTGCGAGTAGGCTATCAATACAGTATCTATTTTATTATATTGGTATTGAAGGAACTAGATACTGTTCCGAAATATCACTTACTCGAACCGTTCTGACCGCGTAGCTCAGTTGGAAGAGCATTGGGCTAGTATTCCAAAGGTCGTAGGTTCGAATCCCACCGTGGCCGGGCATATTTTTCAAGCCCGCCCGGTGTGGATATGCGCTCAGAGTAACATCGCAAACATATTATTCACGTGAGTACACAACACCAACACAGAAAAATTCATATTACTAGAACACATTGGTATTGAAGGAACTAGATACTGTTCCGAAATATCACTTACTCGAACCGTCCTGACCGCGTAGCTAAGTTGGAAGAGCATTGGGCTAGTATTCCAAAGGTCGTAGGTTCGAATCCCACCGTGGCCGGGTATATTTTTCAAGCTCGCCCTGGGATAAAGGTAGGGAATAGATTTTCCATAGCAAAAGGGGCAGGGTGCCCAACCAGTTAGAATATGGCATGTACTTTAAATGACCATTCATTATACCCTAGTGTGGAGTGGTAGATTTTTATGTCAAAATGTTATGGGACCCCTTTTTAATCTCTTAATTTAATAATGGAGACCCCTCCTGAATATTTAAGACTATATAACATGATGCAATTCTAATCTTCATTCCTGTGAATGCCTGACTATGAAGAAAACACATTTTGCAACACAAGGATGGATCCAGCATGATCTGGTGGTGGTGAGGGGGTGCTCTCCCAGCTCTGGTGTAGAGTTGTGTCGCCGTGTCAGTCATGTGTGCCGCCCGCCCATCAACTTGTTTCACTACTACAAAGTCTTGCTTTACTAGTGTATTTGAATTGTAATTACATGTTGTTCACAGCACGCTTATCATCATGTTATTACTCAAATTACTGCATCTCATTTTGCCTGTAATAATTTTTTGCTTTATCATGAAAAATAGCACCACCCCTGCACCCCCTCTGGCCAGGGCTAGGGAGTGCACCCCTCCCCCAGTAAATCCATCCCTGTTGCCAACATGCACTATAAGAGCTAGAATGATTGCTTCCTTTGGATGATTTGTCTTAGAATTATATTACTTATATTAGAACAATTCTTCCTATTCTGAAACCAGTTGTTATTCTGTTTTATACAACACTCACCCCCCCCAAAAAAAGACTCAACAAATCAAGGACCCCCTCCAAGGCAATTTTGCCAGCAAAATAGATTTAATTTGATGGTAACTATTCTAAGAATATATTAATTAATTGAGTGGCAGCATTCTGCCTAGACTTGCCACAAGTCGACCTCGAACGAAACACAAGCAGCAAGTGTGAGCCGACGTTTTTTGTTCGAGGTCGACTTGTGGCAAGTCTACATTCTGCCCTTGAGTAAGATTGTCTGGCACCAGACGGAGTAATATACTAAAGTAGGGACTTTGCCACTATAAAGGGTTAAACAAATTAAAAAAAAATTGTAATGGTCTATATTCAAAAAGCTCTATTTGTAAATTTTAATTGACTTTTATATACCTACTTATACTTATAGCTACCTTGCCCCAGTCACTTCAAGTAAATTCCACGGGAGGAGGGGGACATTGAAAATCCCTGGATTTACTTGGTAAAAGCAAGAATTGAACCATGCATTACATGTATATGAAGAGCAGTTTTAAATATATTTTATCATGCAAATACCTTGATAATTGTCCCTAAACGTCTTTGGCTTAGCATGGGTGCACCCTCCAAAGGTGTTTATTTACAGGGTCCAAAGGTGTAAATATACACTGTCCAAGGTGTTAATATAAAAAACAAAAACAATTTATATAATTAAATTTTATTAAATAAAATGTGGAATGTTTTACAAATTGCATTACCATCCCAAAGTCACAAAGTGTACATAATTTATCAATATAATTAGGACTTAGAAGCTGTTCACATGAGTTTGACTCTGACCCAGCACCTTTGGCTAACTCTCCTTGCCCGATCACAAGTAGTAAACCTCCACCCCCCTCGGACAAATCAGTCCAGATCTACCCAAGAGGCAGGATTTTCTGGAATATTAGCAGTGAATTTGTTGGAAATTTTCAAGCATGTATTGTAACCTGATTTTAAAGCCTGTTTGAACATCAGACATTGTGGCAATGGCAAGATGGTCCAGCCATATGAATGCAATCTTAAAATATCATAAAAAAAACAATGCAATTTAACGCCAGACAGCCCAACTCCTGCGAACAGCCCTTTATTACACATTCGAAGCATCTCTTGAGGCATCAAAGTACATGGAATTACATACGAGTATGTGACATAAGCCCACCATTGACAACTTTGTCTGCAATGCAAATACAATCAAGCTGGAAACGGATTTTATCAGTATTTTGATATATACATTATGGCTCATGACTAAAGTAAAGACACCTGCACTTTCATATTAAAATTGTTCTAATATCATCCAAACAAAACACATCAGAAAACTGTAACATCAGCCAAATGAGCAAATCACATTTTTAACACAATTTATGGTAAAATGAAGCAACATGTAATAGTATCTGAAACAAAACCAAATCACATATTATTCAAAAGTTGTAAACACTGTTGCATATATGATATAATAAAATATCGTCGCATTTCTAGTGGTAACTAACCATAAATTAGCCAATTTAAACTCGACTATGAAGAATATCAAGAACTAAAGGTCATGTTTCAGTTTATAAACCCAGACTTTTATAGTTTTATAAATATAAACATTAAAAGGCACATTTTGCCCTAAGATAAATACTCGGTCAGAGCCTCAGAGTTGTGTTCTAGTACACAATTAATCTTCTCTCACAGTTTAAAACAAAAAATAATACTAGCATTCGATAAATTGTGTATAAATCTTATCGAATTTAACCATTTAGCCACAGATTTTGCCGAAAATATTTCTTGGTCGGACAAAGTATTAATAATGGACACTCCTTGCGGGAAAAAATGTTAATTTATCCCAAAGTTTGAATAAATTAATCCAAGATTGCATTATTTGCATAATAATGTACTTGTGATTGACCAATCAGAAGACATAGAAGACCAGCCGGTGCCAGGGCCTTTTCTCGCCTTCCCAATGACAAAAAGGGAAAAGCCCTGGGAACGAGGTTGATATACGACCTATATAGAAAATGGACACTGACAACACCTCTTTTTAAAGTGCTTGCAACGATATTTCAAGGCATGTTTTATTACATTGAAGATAAAATTCAAAATGACCGCATAAAAAGCTTGCCGAACTCTCTAACTTTTGCTTACTTTGTTGTTGAGATATTTAATAATGGTGGATATGAGAATTATTCCTCACTATGACGTCACATAGCATGACTTTGTGAAGATGCTGTAAAGTCCGTTCTGCGCATCAGTTCTGCTCATGACAAAGGGGGACCCGCAGATATAAACATTGCCCAAATTTTGCATCTTTCGAACTTTTTTGAATTGAAACGTATATTTATACTATTCATTTACAAGCATAACGAACCAGAAAAGTGTTAGGTATATATTCCGTTAGTATATGATATTTTACAAATATAGCAGTTCAAAATGTAAACAAAGCGTTTTTTTTACATTACAAACTTTACAACATCTTTATAAGTTGGCTCGATCAGAAAAACCCAACTCAAGAATCGCGAACAAAACCGGGTGACCATTTTTACGCGCAAGTCGCGGAAATTGATTAAAAAATGAAAGAACGTTATTAGAATTTTCCATTTTAGAAAAACAATGCGCTATATGACTTATGTTGAAATTTTACATGCTGTATTGCACCGCTAAAAACTTCCATTATACAAAAAATAAAATAATTCTGTAATGCCAAAAACATTTTACCCAAGAGTGCGACGTTTTCCAAAAAAATGGCATTACAGAATTTTTCATATTTTGCTAATTGTTAGTTTTTTCCAGGTAAAATAATGCACAAAAAAAATTGGGGGTCACCTTTTTACTTTCCCTACTATACGAGACAATAGACCATTCTGGAGTGAATTTCGTACACGTATGTCGTCATAGCAACGAACTATCTGTAACTAAAACTAATATAATTTGAAAGTAGAGATATCAAAATTATAAAAACCCCATTATCTGCTGCATAAATCCTAAAAATGCGTAGTTTGAACATGTCAAAGTGTTGAACACCTGAATTTTTGAAAACTGTATCGAGCTACCTTAAAGATCTCGGGATATCGTGCAACGAAATAATAAACCCGTGCATATGTGAGTTTTGTCAACATACTATACAAATATGTGTTATATGTCGACACATTTGATCAGTCACAATTTGCATATAAAACGTCGTTAAATATCGCAAGAAAGAAACAAACTAAGGGGCTGTTTAAATAGAAGCCGAGCTGGCACACGCAAGAAGCGAGATATCGCTTAAGCCTTAATGTCGCTATAACGCAAGCCTAAGCGTAATGATAAACGAGAGGAGGGCTTTGATGCTTGCGTTGTAAGGAGGATGCCAGGATGAAAGTTCAAAGATGTCGTCGTAACAGCTGTCACTACTGGTCATTTTGAAATTTCTTTACTATATAATCATCAAAAATACTGCATTCAAAAACTCAACTAGGCTTTATAACAAACGTACTTGCAGGGCGGTGAGTCCGAGATTGGAGACACCGAGGGTGGCCTGAAGTTTCCCGGTGTTTCGTCGATGTTTTGTCAACATTTTCCCGGCCAATATTTCTTGGGCTCTTAATACTTCTTTATCTACGTCTAGATTACCTTTATTGCATTTTTTTTCCTTTGGTTTTTCTTCAATCTCAGTAGGTTAGTCACCGAAAAAAGTTCTTTAAAGTTTAGGTTTATCGGCTAAATCTTGTCCGCCATTTTTATTGTTATTGCAACGTAAGTAGTTTCGCTGGTGAGTTCGGGGAAATGCAGGTGAGCTCGACTACAAACTCACCTGCACTAAACCAATCTGAAGGCCGCTTTTAACACAGTTATGGGATAAGACTTTGTATTCCACTTTTGCCCCTAAATGGCCTTGTTTCCATGTTTTCTGCCCCACAAAGCGAGAAAAATAACGGCATGATTCTCATGCGGTTATTGCATGTCATGTTTGTTGAACAAAGCCATTTGGTTAAGAGTGAAGAGCAAATATAGACAAAAAACCCAATAAGTAATTCCCGTTAGTTTTTTGAGATATTTGGTCAAATTATGATTACCTGCATGTGCACTTTAAAAATCATTTTCATTAAATGTTTAATGACACATAAATAAGCTACATCTACCTAAAATAATCTATTTCATAATTTGCCTAAATTTTTTTGGCACAAATCATCTTTGGAGAACAATGTACCGGGTGTCCCCCAAAAAACTTGCGCTGTTTGATTTCATGTAACGTAAAAACTATAAAAGCTATTACACTCAAATAAATTCTATTGCATTCAGGAAAGGCTAACTT